TCCCAGGCTATGCTCAAACTTGCAACCCTCCTGCCTCTGCCTCCTAGAGTGCTGGGATGACAGGCTTGGACCACCCCACCCTGCTCTGATTTTTTTTTTTTTTTCTTTTTGGCTTTTTTTGGTTTTTCTCCGGTACCGGGAACCGAACTCACGACCTTGCGCTTGCCAGGCAGGCGCTTTGCCGCTGAGCTCAATCCCCAGCCCCTGGTTTTTACTTTTAGTAAATCAAGGGAGAATGATTTCCATCTGGAAAAATGAACACCAGGTCCTGCACCCAGCGGCCCTTTCTTTTAAGGGACCAAGGCCGCTCTGACCTCAGGCGCTGAGTGGTCCCGGGTTCCTTCCCGGCCTCCCAGCTTCCCCTCGCCCCAGGCGCTCACCCTCCGATGCCCACGACGATCTTCATATCCGCAGAGGGTGGCGGGGACAGTGCGCTCGGCTGTAACCTGCTGCCAGGCTGTCCCGGCTTCATTGAGAAAACCCAGCACTTTTATAGGCGCCGGGCACCCCGGAGGGCATCTCGGGGGAGGAGGCCAGGGCAGAGGGGGAAGGGCGGGGGGGGCACACTTGTTCCTACAGCTGGAAATAGCTCAGGGCGCCCTTTGCCTAAATTAGCCCCAGGCGGGGGTGTGGGGAGCCTCCCCCTTCCTCGCCTCCCCCTCCATCACTCCTCCCTCCTCCCCACTCTTGGCCAGAGAAACCAGATCCTCAGCCACACATTTTCCTTCCCTAAAAATATCAGCCACCGCGTGTCCCCGGCCTGACCCTGACATTCAGAGTGATCTTGGGCACATCAAGGGAAGGAAAGTCAGCCCTGGCTTGCCCTGCCCGCAATTTCCTTTTCCTGAAGATGGGGCCAGGACCGGTTCAAGATCCAGAGTGGCCGGGAACCCCAAGATAGCTTTGTTCTAGTGGCCTTGGCCAGCCAGAAAATCTTAGCGGGACTCCACACCCGTGGTGTGGCCTGAATAACTGGGATCAGCCCCATGGTGGCCTGGGAGCTGCTGATCTTCATATTATTGGTAAAGGAAAAAAAAAAAGATGCATATTAAAATGTTCAAATTGGGGCTGGGGATTTAGCTCAGTGGCACAGCGCCTGCCTGGCAAGCGGGAGGTTGTGAGTTCAATTCCCAGTACTGGTGAGGGGGACGGGCGGAAATGTTCAAATGGAGCTGGGCGTGGTGGTGCACCCCCGTCATTCTAGCAGTCTGGGAGGCTGAGGCAGGAGGATTCCAAGTTCTGGCAACTAAACGACTTGGTGGAATCCCACTTCAAAATATAAAATAAAAAAAGGGCTGGGGATACAGCTCAGTGTTAAGGCCCGGGGTTCAATGCCCAGTGTAGCAATTAAAAAAAAAAAAAGGCTAAGGCCGACCTTGTGTTGGGGGTGGGGAGGAGGGTTCAGTTCAATGTGCTGGGTGCTGGGGTGCTGAGGCGGGAGCTCTGGCCGAACCTCTCGATAGGGTTCTTGCTAACACTGGGCTCTTGGGGAAACGGGGTGGGTGGGGCTGCAGTGTCCCCCACAGGTCCGCGGATGCACAGTATTGGACACCTTGAAGTTCAGCCCATCGAGTTCACTCCCGCTGGCTGCGGTGTGAGAGCTGCACGCCGGATGGTGAGAATGAGACGACACGCTGCTGTATTTTGGGGGACTTTGGAACAGCTCCCGAAGCCCGGGTCTTGAAGGCATGGTCTGCCACTGGGTGCTATTGGGAGGCGTGGGACCTTTAAGAGGCGGGGCTAGTGGGAGGAAGTGTGGTCATGGGGGCGTGGTCTCGAGGGAACGGCTGGGTCACGGTCCCATCCTGTCTTTTTTGCTCCCTGTCCTGGAGGGGAGCCGCCTTGTGTCACCACACGCTCCCCGCTGATGTGCTGGGCAGGCACCAGCCCAAAGCACCCAGGGTTCCGACCGTGGACTGGAACTTCTCAAACCGTGAGCCAAAATAAACCTTTCCTGTCTAAAAACTGATCTGGCGTTTGTTACATTTGCAGCACATTGACTGCCACACATCTCAGTTTCGTACTTTTTTTTTTTTTCAGTGCTGAGGATTAAACCCAAGGTCTTTGCACTGAGCTACATCCCCAGCCCTTGTCATACCTTGTTTTCAAACAACATCTTGCTAAATTACCCAGGCTGGACTGGAGTTTGCGATCCTCCTGAGTAGCTGGGATTATAGGTGTGTGCCACAATATCTAGTTTCTTTTACTCCTAAAAAGGATTTAGGACTCGAAGTAGCTTTTTTTAAGTGGATGATAGTCATTGCTATGATGTGCTACATCACACATTAAACATAGGGGGCCGGGCATGGCCCCCTCCTGGCGCACTCAGGAGGCTGAGGCAGGAGGATCGCTGCGAGTTCGAGGCCAGCCTGGGCTACAAAGTGAGTTCAAGGCCAGCCTGAACTGCATAGTGAGAGCCTGTCTCAAAAAGCAAAAAAAAAAAAGGAGTCATCTTTTTTACATAATGGGTTTTTTTGAGATAGGGTCTCACCATGTAGTTCAGACTGGCCCTCAACTCACTCTGTAGCCCAGACTGGCATTGAAGTCACAGCAATCCTTCTTCCTCAGCCTTCCCAGTTCTCTGATTATAGGTGTATGCCACCACACCCAGGTACACAATGATTTAAATAAGTCATTATTTCTTCCTTTCTATTCTTCCCTCCCTCTTCTTTCCTTCCTTCCTTCCTGGGTCTCAAACATGCTAGGCAAACACTCTACCACTGAGCCTCAAACCCAGATTTTTTATTTGAGGCAGTCTTCTTAAATTCCCCAGGCTGGCCTTGAATTTGTGATCCTCCTGCTTCAGCCTCTTGAGTAGCTGTAATTACAGTTATGTGTCACTACACTTGGCTGAATAATAATAGTAATTATTATTATTATTGTTATTATTGCAGTACTGGGGATTGAACCCAGGGCCTTTGCACTGAGCTACACCCACAGCCCTTTTATTGCTTGATTGATTGATTGGTACCAGGAGTTGAACTTAGGACCTTGTGCTTGCCAAGCAGGCACTTGTGCCACTGAGCTATATTCCCAGCCCTATTTCTTATTTTGAGATAGGATCCTACTAAATCCCTCAGTGGCCCAGGCTGGGCTTGAACTTGTAATTGTCCTGTCTCAGCCTCCCAGAGTGCTGGGATGACAGGTGTGCACCACTGTGCCCAGCTTGAGAAGGTCACAGATGTAGTTGAGTGGAACGCACGGGGAGAGATGAGCTGAGGGAGAGGAGGAATATTCATGGGGTCTCTTGGGAAGGGTGGAGATGAAGCGTTCAGGCTCTGTCTCTTTTTGCCGAGCACAATCTCCTAGGGACAACATGCAGGACCAGACTGCGAGACGGTCCTGTGGCCGCAGAGGGCAGCTGATGCCCCTTGTGGCCATGGCCAGGTGGGTCCAGCTCTGTTCCTGGGGCCCAGTGGGCAGCGGCCACCATCCTGATTTCAGGAAGCACCGAGCACTGGGTCAGTGCTGCTCACAGGGTGTCCAGGGCATCACTGCCAACTGCTCACCCCTTGGGCATGAAACGGTGACGCTAGTGCAGGCTCAGCAGAGGGGACCCTTCTTCCCTTGGTGACAGCGTGTCTGACACAGCCTGGCCGGGCTGAGCCCAGGTGCAGGCGGCAGGCTGCTTCCTCACAAGGCTCCGGGAGAACCCAGGTCCCTCCCGCAGCCCTTGGCTCGAGGTCCCCTCCTCCATCCGCAGAGCCGGGACACAGTATCTTTCTGACCCTTCCGCTGCTGTCACATTTCTCCTTCTATCAAGACTGGAAATGGTTCTCTGCTTTTTAAAATTTAAGAGACATAAAATTCACATCATCTATAGCTTGTGTGAGCATGCATGTGGCACTGGGGCTAGAAGCCAGGGCCTTCGCACTGAGCCCCATCCCCAACCCTTTTTTTATTTTTTATTTTGAGACAGGGTCTCTGAGAGTCACTAAGTTGCCCGGGGCTAGGCTTAGACTTGAGATCCTCCTGCCTCAGCCTCCTGAGGAGCGGGGATCACAAATGTGTGTGTTTAATTTTCTGAGGAGCTGCCAGGCTGTTGCCTACGGCTGCTGCCTGGTGTCACATTCCTGCAGGAACTTAGATAGTTCCTCTTTCTCCGTATCATGTCATTCCCCAGTCCTTGGTATTTTCTTATTCCTCTTTTTCCTGTTTCCGTAGTGTGGGGGACGTAGCCCAACACATGTCACACTCTGCTTTCTGGAAGTCAGGACATTGGTGTTGCCTGCTTGGCCCCAGGGACGGGATGTGGTGACACCAAACCCGCCCAGGCACCCCACCAGGGCAGTGGAGCTGACCTGCAGGCTACCAGAGGCTCAGGACCATCTAACTGTCCTGCATATCCCTGAAGATTCCGGCCCTCTGGTGCCCTGATGCCTGACAGTCGCCATGACAACAGGAAGAGACCAGAAAAACAGCAAAAGGAGGCAGCTCCTAGGTTCTTGGAAAATTTTCCACAGACTTAGCTTTTTTTGGTGGAGCGGGGACAGGGTCTCACTAAGTTGCCCAGGGTGGTTTGGAGCTTGTCATCCTCCTGCCTCCCACAGTGCTGGGGTTATAGGTATGTGCCACGGTGCTCTCGGAATTTCTGGAGTTTTTTTTGTTTGTGTATATTTTTTGTTGGTTTTCTCTGAGACAGGGTCTCTCTCTAGATCAGGCTGGCTTCAAAATCATGGCAGTCCTCCTGCCTCAGCCTTCTGAGTCCTGGGATTGTAGGCATGCACCACCGTGCCCAGCTAATTTCTCTGTTTTGTCACTCATAGTGGCGCACACTGGTAATCCCAGCACTCTGGAGGCAGGAGGATCTCTGTGAGTTTGAGAGCCTGAACTATATAGTGAGGCCCTGTCTCAAAAAAAATAATTTCCTGTTTTGTTTTGTTTTATTTTGTTTTGAGATTTTGGATCTTTTTTTTTTCTTTTTTTTTTTGGTTTTTCTCCGGTACCAGGAACCGAACTCACGACCTTGCGCTTGCCAGGCAGGCGCTTTTGCCGCTGAGCTAAATCCCCAGCCCTTGAGATTTTGGATCTTGATATATAGCCTAGGCTGGCTTCAAACTCAGGACAATCCTCCTGCCTCAGCCTCCTAGGTGCTGGGGTTACAAGCATGCAGCACCATACCGGGCTAGGACTTCTCTAATTTTTTACTAAGAGTAAAACTTTAAAAAAAAAAACAAAAAACAAACTTTTGTTGCTGCCTGACCTGTTTAGCCCTACAATCTCAGGAGGGAAAGGATCAAAGTTGGTAACATGCTGACCTCTAAGACTGCAAGATGACCAACTCTTATAAGCCTCAAATGTAATTTTTGATAGAAGAGTGGTATTTATTCTCATTTTAATTTTTTTTGGATGGAACCAGGGCCTCACCCAGGCTAACACAGGGCAGCAAAGAGCCACTCCACTGCCCCATTTTCCATTTCTGCAAATTTCCTGAATGGCTTGGTAGAAGACAGCTGGATTCTCTCTTTTTATTTCCTCCCTCTCTTCTTCCCTTCCTTCTTTCCTTCCATAGTCCTGGGGATTGAACCCAAGGCCTTCACACTGAGCAGCATCCCTAGCCCCTTTTTTTAATATTAATTTTGAGACAGGGTCTTGCTAAGTCACTAAGTTGCCCAGGTAGGGCTCAAACTTTTGATCCTCCTGCCTCAGCCTCCTGAGTGCTGAGATGACCGCTGGCACCATGCCTCCTCAGCCTGTTTCTAGAGATTGTTTTGCTTGATAGTGGGTAGAAAATCTAGCTAGAGAGAGAGAGACAGAGACAGAGACAGAGAGGAGAAAGGAGGATTGGAGTCATCTTTTCAGAGAATAATGCCCCTCGAGGGTCATGAACTGTTCTTCCGCCTCCTGCGCTCTATTAAAGTGTGTTCATCTTTCACTTTGGGCGAATCTTTGTCCGTGCATGACCCTGACCCTGGGGTGCCCCTGCAAGGATTCCAGGCTCCTGAGCCCCGGGGAAGCCCCTGGTTCAGAGCCCTGGTTGTGGCTGGGTGCCGTAGCGCCCCCAAGCTCATGAGCACTCGAGCCAATGCCGGGAGAGGCGGAAGGAACTCCCCAGAGCCTCCGAGGCCCCGCAGAGACTGGGATTTTGGAATTCCAGCTTCCAGAGCTGCACCAGGCACATTTCTGCCGTTGGAAGCCCCAGGGTGGGGCCGTTTGTCACACACAGGCGTAAAATCCCGGCGGCTCCGCCTCCAGCGCCCCTTCGCTGCTCACCGGAGCCTTCCGGTCACCCCTGCGGCCGCCTCCTCTCTGCCCAGGCGGTAGATGAGGGAGCTCTGTAAAAGCCTGGGTCAGGCGTGGGTGCTTCTCTGCTCTGAACCCTCCAGGTCCTCTCCCCATTTGCATTGATTTGGGTTTTTTGTTGTTGTTGTTTTTCTGGTACCGGGAATCGAACTCACGACGTTGCTCTTGCCGGGCAGGCGCTGTGCCGCTGAGCTAAACCCCAGCTCCCCCATTTGCATTGAAAAAGACCCAATGTCTTCATCTGTCCCCATATCTCCTACCTTGGAGGCCTCCCTGAATGTACTCCCTGACAGTACTCTGTGGTCAGGGTGGCTGCAGTGCCTCCTTCACTGCTGCAGATCTTTTCATTGGAGGAGACAGAAAGCTTCTCACCATGTAGAATGGAGACAGCACTGAGCGTGTCCGGTATTGCTGAGCTGCCCATGTGGGATAAAGGTAGTGCAAATACCCACCACCGTGGTGCCTCTTGGGTGGCCACCTTTCTCCTTCTCCTACTGTGGCTGGGCTTCTGCCCTGGACCTTCCTGGGCCTCAGTTTCCCTGTTTGGCAGCCAGGCAGCGCGGCTGAGCCTGCGAGCCAAGAGGCTTATCAGTTGCAGGAGAAGCCCAGCTTCTGGGCTCTGCCTAAGGCCCAGCGTGGGGAGGGGAGTTCCCTGGGGCCTGCCCTGGCAGTGAGGTGTCCCGGAAGGCCCGGCAGGTAAGCCCCAGGGGCTCTGCGTCCGTCTAAGGCTGTGGCAGAGGCCCAAGCCCCCAACACCCCAGCATTCAACGGTGACCATGCTGTCTGTCACACAGTGTGGGCTCCATGGACCGGAAACGCCAAGGACAGGCGAATCCAGAGACCAGAAGTGCACTGGTGGGTGCTGGCGCTGGAAGGGGACGGGGTGACTGCACATGGGGACAGACGGGGCTTCCTTTGGGGAGATGGGACGTCCTGGACCTAATTAGAGGTGGAGGCTGCCAGACACTGTGAACATATGAAATGCCTCTAATGATAAATTTTATGTTGTGTGCATTTTATCACAATGAAAAAGAGATTGCACTGAGATAATGATTATCTGGATTCCCGAGATGCCCGGCATACCCTTTAAGTTTTAGGTGTAAAGAAAGTAACTTGCTGTGCACTCAGGCTAGGTGTGGCTGGAGCACACCTGTCATTCCAGCTACTCGGGAGGCTGGGGCAGGAGGATCTCAAGTCGGAGCCCAGCCTGGGCAGCCTAGTAACTTAGTGAGAATTTGTCTCAAAATAAGAAATACAAAGGGCTGAGGACGTAGCTCAGTGGGAAGGCCCTGGGTTCCATGCCCAGATCCAGAAAAAAAAAAAAAAAAGAAAGAAAGAAAAAGCAGGGCTGGGAATAGAGCCCAGCTGCACAAGCACTTGCTTGGCAAGTGCAAGGTCTTAAGTTCGATTCCTGGTACCGCCGCCCCCCTGCCCCCGGCAAAAAAAAAAAAAGCAAAGAAAAGGAAACCAGATATTTCTTCTCCGCTATGATTTATTCATGGCCCATAAAACCCACCAGACCCCATGGAGGTGGTGCCTCCCCATCATGACAGCTAATATCATGGTCATTTCTGTGTTTAATTAAAAACCAAAGAGCTGGCCGGAAGGGTGAGTATGAAGGGTGCCACCCTGGGGGCTACAGGTCACCAGAGGGAAAACCACCATCCCTTTACGACCATGGCCCGGGATCCTCTGCCCTTTGCCCCCAAATATCCCCAGGTGCAAATCTGTGGCAATGCCGATTTTTGGATGGGGACGCAGTAGCCACCTGGGAACGGTGGCCCCGGCAGACCCATGTAGACCTCCCAAGCCTGCGGCGGCGGCCTCCTGCCTCCCCCGCCCGCTGCGCTTGCTGCTGTCTGTGGCTGCTGGTGATCCGGAAGGGCCCGGGGGCCTGTCGCCGGCCATGGTGGACAGGTGTCCTCACTGAGTGTCCTGGGAGCAGAAGTTTGAGCTCGCAGACGCCTTGGCCCAAGAAAGGTTCATGGGGCGCAGTGTGCCTGGGCCACTGGGGACAAGCCGTGGTGGCCACAGCTGGCGTCGGGCGGAGACCCCTCCTCTTGCCCACTCGTGGGGCGGTCACGGTCATCCTGTGTCTCCGCTGATAAGACAGGCCATTCACTGGCGTGGGACTCCGGGGTCTTCCGAGTCACCTGTACATCTGATGTGGCCGCCACCATCACCGTGGGTGACAGAGGGGGCCTGGGTGACACAAAAGGGGACAGACCTGGCGCTGTGGGGCTTTGGGAGCAGCCTCAGCCTCCAGAACCCAAGACGCCCTCCCTGTCTCTGTCCGTTGACGTTTGGGAACCGCACATCACAAAGCTGCCACCAGACTCCCCAAGCGTTTGCCTGCTCAGACCCTGCGGGGACCCCGCGGCGCTCCTGGCACGGCCTGCTGGCCCTGTCACGGGGTTCGCAGTCCCAGCCGCTCAGAAACCCCGCTTTTGCTCAGGGCAGGGGCTGCGGGCTCGTGTAGTAGGACTCAGAGACCCCGTCCTGTGTGACAGTCATCCTGCATTCCTGCAACTGGGCACTGAATGCCCCCAGCTCGCTCCCATGGTCAGGAAAACCCAAGACTTTGTCCCTTTGCTGTCCCAGGCCCAGAGCACCGGACATCGCTGCAGAGGCTGGGCTGTCACTTGCCCTCGATGGCTCGCACTGAGGCTCAGCTACAGATGTGGGGAGCTGGGGGCCTTGAGAACACGCCACGCAGGGTTTGATCAAAATGGAGACGCCGGACTGAAGGGACCACAGGGGGCCACTTTCTGCAAACACCACCTCGTCTTTTCTTAAATACCCCTCGGAGACGGCGAGCTCACTACTCCTAGAAGGCCCCTGATTGTCTTGGGCTCCATGACAGCCCATCCTTCTTTCTTCTTCTTTTTTCTTTTTGGGTTTGAGACAGGTCTCACTATGTAGTCCAGGCTGACTTCAGATTCACTCTATAGGCCAGGCTGGTCTCAAACTCACGGCAGTCCTCCTGCCTCAGCCTCCCGAGTGCTAGGATGAATTTGGAATGCAGGGGACCACAGCATCTGGCCTGTTGGGATTTATTTTCCCAAGTGATCTCTGAAGCATCCCTAGCTCTGGTACCCTGTGTCTTCCTTCGGTGATGTCTGCGTTTCCAGGATCACCCCATTTCAGAACCGGCTTCCTTGGCCTCTGCTGTGGGCGTGTCCTGACCTGGCACTGGGGCTGTCACAGGTGTCACTTGGGCTGGCCCTGGGCTGTGGCACCCCAGGGAAAGGGGCTTGGGAATGTTCAAGAAGAGGGCAAGGATGGGGTCCGACAATGGTTCCTACTTACACGATGGGCTTGGAGGCTCCCAAGGAAAGTAGGTGTCCTTGGAGGTGACAGGGAGGTGACAAACCAGGGGTGTAATCTGGGACACAAGGCGGAGGCTGTGTCCCAAGGCACAGTCCTGCTCGGGACCGAGGTCCCAGGGCCGAGGGCCAGGCACGGGACACATCCCTGGAGGGAAGGCACGGGGATGAACCCGGGCTCGGCCACGCCGGAGGGTGCCTGTAGCTCCAGACAGACGAGCGATTGATAGAGAGGGGTCCGGAGCCTGTGCCAGAGAGAGGTGTCCTGCGGCTGCGGGGCTGGGACAGCGGCAAGATCACCAGGGCTCCACAGGCCCACGTGGGTCCCTTCCTTGGTTGTGATCTCACCAGTGTGGACACGGGAGGGCTGAGAACCGGGCCCTTTTCCAGAGCATGCTAATACCACACTGTTTCCAAAATGTTTCTGAGCCGCTAAAAAGGACACTGGATGTCAGAGGTGGATGGAGAGACCGGTCCCCTGGGACGATCAGGACTCAGGATGAGGTGGGATGAGTTCTGGGGCCAGAGGGCATCTGACAGAGGTTTCTTGGCATCTGGAATCTTCTTCCGTGTCCTTCTCTTTGATCTGGCCGTCTCAGGACATGCTGCAGGGGAGAGACACAAACAGAGAGGGGACTGGGATTTTCTCAGCAAGTAGAAAATGCTCTTCCACAGGCTCATCCGAAGAATGAGCTCCCCGAATGTGGACGAGCACTCATTAGCAGGAGCGGTGCCTGCTTTTAGAGGCTGGGCATCTGTCACCTGCCTGCCCAGGGCGCCTCCCTCCTGGGGCCCAGCAGAAGAGCAGGCCCTGGGACCCCTGCCCTCAGGCTGGAAGGAAGCTTCAAACCAGCCAGCCAGCAATCCACCCACCCACTGATCTACCTACCCTTCCATTCATCTGCCCGTCATCCACCCACCCATCCATCTCTTTGTCCATCTACCCATCCACCCATCCATCCACCCATCTACCCATCCACCCATCTACCCATCCACCCATCCATCCACCCATCTAT